GTAACCTGTATCTGTTACAGCTGAAAATGCTTCATTTTCCCTTGACGCTGCAGGTGAAATTGCCTGTTGTTGATAAAATTTAACCACAAAGTAACACGTTTGCTACAGGTGTGGAGAACGTGACTGCAGGTGACTCAAAACTTAATGATAGCTCTGCTGATGGTGTTCCTTTTTTCTCATCAACTGTCTCCTAGACAATTCACCGCTAGTTTCAGGACAAATACTATTTTAACCACTCATGGGAATTAAGCTTACCTCATATTCCTCTTGTGCCGCCTTCTGCTCACGGATGTATTCTTTCTCAATTAGCTCAATCTAGAATGAGGACCAAAAACAGTGTTAAAAATTTCTATGGGCTATGTTTGGGTAAATGTTGATTTCAGAACAAAATGTTAATGCCCAGCATAAAAGATATAGAACAAATGAGTGGAAACGACCAGTAATTTGGGATTTGTGCTAACAAAAAGTATTCATTTTTTCATCAAAGATAAAACTTTAAACTAACCTCGTATTTCCTACAGATTTCTGCAAGTAAAAATAAAAGAAAAAAAGATCAGTGCGAATTTTCCACCCCTCGAAGTGAGTAAGTGATCAACACAGTTAACACCGGCTGCAATTTACACAAGGTAGGGTAGATAAAGGATTAAAAAAGATCGCAGCTTCAACCTCAAACCTGCATGTTACCAGTGCAATGCTATCCAAACTAAGCTATGAAGTTACACATGTTTTAAGCAACATGGTCCTGTTTGAGGGGTAAAATGATATGCGACATACAAATGACAACATATATGCCAAAGGGGTTTCATTACCTTTTTCAGCAGGAAGGCAATTGTTTTTCACAGGCAGGTAAAACTTTTTGAACTGAATTTTGTTATAAGAAAAGAGCAGGAAATTTGGCCTCATTCAGTGTCCCAGATAAGTTAGGGGTCTCAGGTCAAAAACCTGACAAGATCAGCTACATGACCCAACAAATTACAGTCAAACCAAGTGAAGCGTACCCCTCAAGATTACATTAATGAATTGATTATTTGAATCTTGAACCCGCTAATCGTTTCAAGAATGTAATAATGAATTGACTATTTGAATATTGAACTCGCTAGTCATTTCAAAAATCGATATTAAATTGATTTTTTTGAACATTAAACCCATTAGCTGAATTCTTGGAACGACTAGTGGGTTCAATTTTCCAATAATCAATCCATTATTGCATTCTTGAAATGACTAGCAGGTTCAATATTCAAATAATCAATTCATTAATGTAATCTTGAGTGGTATGCTTCACTTGGTTTGACTGTAATAGAAAATGATTTGGTGGGAGCTGTGGAAATTGACCCGTTGGGATTCCTTATCAGCAACCTGCCTTGAAAACTTATCTGGAACCCTGGTCACAGCTGGTCAAGTTGCCCAGGGCCCAGCCTTTAAATGAAACCTCTGAGCCAGGCATTTCACAATTCAGTTATCATACCTGCGATAAGAAGTCTCTCACTTCTTAGCGCGTCAAGTTTATTCAGCCTCTTGGTATATTCAGTATGTTTACCTGAAACAGAACCAAACGGAAATCGGAAATTGGATTGAGATATTTATTAATACTCATATTGCATAAACAGTGCTTTGAAATTCAATATTCTTGACTAGAGAGCTCTAGGCTCACAAAAAAATTGAATAAAAATTAAATATGTATTCATAGATACCACTGTTTAAATGCTGCAACTGTTGTTTAAAATCCTGTAACTTTTCTTGATACATTCTGAAAAGAAATTGAAAGTAGTTTACTTACACATGAAAGAAATCTTCTTTTTGTTAGCTAAAGAATATAACACTGTATGAGCTCAAGTGAAACTTGAACTCAGACTCTTGACATGTTGGTCCAAAAGATATCTGTACTCCACCACTACATAAAAGATGTTCTGGTTCAATGTACCCCACCTCTGGCCTCTGGAATTTTTAGTGCAGCTTCATACATATATAGGCTCCTTTCAAAATTTCGGTATTTGAGATAGCAACCCCCTGTGAAATTCCAATTTCCATGCATCGCATCGATTTGGATATTTTCTGGCATTGCACAAAGTGAAGTCTATTAAAAATCCCTTCCATAACAACATAGATAGAACTTGATCATTCTTGTCACCAGTAGATGTGATCCTTAGCCTCTGGCCAGGTCTATTTTGACAGTCTGTGAGGCATCGACTTTGGCTCAAATCTGATTCAATAAGAATCAGAAATGACTACTCTAAATATGCTCAAAAGAGCAGCTCCAGCCAGCAGTTGAAATACTGGGTGCTAACTAAAAGAATCGTAGCCTCTAAAGGCAACACTGGAACTTAACTGCAGAAGGTAGTGAATATAAACAACACATATTTTGCAGACTGGCAACAACAATAGAAGGCATTACTTACTGTTCCTTCATCTCTGTAAACTCTTCTTCGAGCTTTGCCATATCAGTCTCACTCGCATCTTCTGTATCTAAGATTCAAAATACCAAAAAAGATTTATCAACTCCTTCACTGCTACCAGAACTCTGAAAATACATCCTGTTTTTTAGTAATAGAATGAGTTTAACATTCTCATTTACCTTATTTATTTATTTACTATTTTAATTAACCAAAACGATAGAACCATTAATCAGAATGCATGAGACATGACCATCGCATTTTTTTTGTAAATTTAAGTTTCATAAGTTAAGCTTAATGTAAACATGATTGGGTTCCATGACAAATTTATATAGAGTACAAACTTGACAATTTACAACATGGCTACACTAGTCTTGCTATCACCAATGCAGAAATTATACCTTCATCTGACTCATTCATCTGAAAAAATCCCCTATCCTCCTCGTCATCGTAAATATCAGAGCGGTTGTCATCAAAGCTTGCCTCTCGATTGAACACTGCCGCCATTTTTTTAATCCTTCCCGATGTTCTGGGTGCGCATGCTTGCTTGGCAAATACGCTGTCCTCGGAAGAATCACTTCGTGGGCTCACACTCCTTCCAGACTGAAAAAAGAAAACAATTTTTCTTACTAAATACCACTACATGTCATAAAAGTCCACAGATGAGAAATTTCGCCGATCTTCGCACTATCTCCTTACAGAATTGTCTCACGCAGCTTTGCCAATTAACCTTTTGAATAGCGGGTACCCGTTAGAATTTTCTTCGAGACGGATCTCGCCTGCTCTTTGCTGTCTTTTACTGTAGCTGTGACACGACAGCAGAGCGCGCGGTGAGATGAGTTTCCCAGGTGATTTCTGAGCACCAGGAAAGGACAATACTAGACAATAAATTGCGCCTTAGCGAAACTTTCTCAAAATTCGGATTTTTTTCATTTTTCTTCGTTGCTTGCAATCACCTCCAGGTAGCCAGCGAGAATTAAGCAGAAAATTTATTAAAGAAGGGAATCTAAGAGGCAAATCCGGCCTGTAGTGCAAACTATAGTAAACTTTGAGTCGGGCAACTGAAAATCAACCCAGTGCTTGAAGAGGTAAGATTTTCATGGAACAGGAAAAAAATACTATCTAGTCAAAAACAACATATTACTTTGTAACTGCCTGCACAGTATGATCTCAGGAGCTCCAAAACTAACCGAGATCTACCCCAACATCGATCGATCGACGAACGCAAACCTAGCTAAAACTCGAATCGAGTATTTCGTGTGTATAAAAAAAAAACAAGGAAATAATTACAGCGCTTGTGCCTTATTCTACAAGAAGTACGAATTGTAGGGCATGCTGCTTTGGAGATGTATAAAAAATTAGTTGAAGTCAAGTATTAATAAAGGATCTTCAGACAAGCATAAATGTGTCAGCAGATTGATAAAGAAGGGGAAAAACACAGCTACTCCGTCCCACGCCAAACTCAGAAAAGTCCGAGAAAATTGGCGAATCACCGTGCTCAAGCAAATAAAAAAGCTTGAAGAAAATTGCAACTATGAATTACCTTTTTTCCCTTGTTTCCGAGCTTGCTCTTCCCTTTGACAGTGGTCGCAGTGGATCTTTTTCTTCGGATTTTCTTGTGGGATTTCGTGGCTTCGACTCCTTTCAATTTAGGCATCTTGCTGTCGCTGGCCAAAACTGAAGTCACGCACTGTTTTCTATTTCTAGAGAAAGGACGAAAATCCAGCCAGTAGGATTTACCCAAGAGAATTTGCTCTCAGACGGTCACTCGTCTGGCAATAAAGGACGAAAATACCGTCCGAAGCTCTTCAGTCAGAAGTCTTGGACGCGAGTGAAATTTGTTGCTTACATTTCCTGCCACTATTTTTAGAACGAGACTCGTTGATTGGCTCACTGTTTGAAATTTACTTCCGGTTTGTGCTCTGTGCCGAGTGTCCACGCCTTCACGGAAAAGGTTGGTAGATCGCGAACTATCACAAGATCAGGTAAAAGATGGTGAGTCGTTTGTGTGTATGGAAAGGGAAATTATTCCTTAATCTTTCTTTCTGTCGCTCCAAAGAAACCGTTTTATCTTTCACTTTTTTAGTAAGCTGATATGTTGGGGTTCGTTGGTTCTCGTTACAACATATTTTTATTCTGCACAACAACGTGTAAAAACCCGCCAATCTCGTTGTCACTGTTTAAACATCTTTCCTCCGTTGTAGAGTTTCTTCGTAAAAATTTCAGTTGCGCAGTGAACTTAGTATAGCATAATTTGAAATATTGCACGCCACTTTATTTGTTCCATATTGCGGGGAAAGAAAATTGGGGCGGGCTCTAGGGAGAATATAAGCTAGATACCCCTGGGACAAGGTGATAGGCCAGGGGTAATTTTTAGTTTTGAGTAGAACTAAGGATTTCCTTGCTAACAGCACCCTGTTACACAATTAATAACCTGTTGAACAATCCCTATTTCTATTACAGCTTGTCCTTGTACTTGGAGATCTTCACATCCCACATCGGCAACACAGTTTGCCTGCAAAGTTCAAGAAGTTGTTGGTAAGTGAAACTGCACAAGGATTTTAGTCTGTTGTAAAGCCTAGGTTTTCCTACCAGACCAGTAGTTAGTCTGGTTGGCTAGTTTCCATAGCACATGGAGGCGCACACAATGGTTAGGGTGCCAGACTCCAGATTGAGCAGTTCAGGTTCAAGCTTTGGCCAGGGTCATTGTGTTGTGCTCTTCGGCAAGACTCTTTGCACTCATAGTGTCTCTCCACCCAGGAATATAAATAGGTACTAGCAAATGTAATGCTAGGGGGGTAACCCTGTGATGGACTTATATTCCATCTAGGGGGAGTAGAAATACTTCTAGTCACTTCATGCTACAGAAACTTGGATAAGTTCCACCTGCATTTCGGATCCACTGGTCTGATGCAGACTCTCTCTTACCTAACACTCCATAGCATGAAGTTTTTTTTTGGAGTAAATCTTACTAACCCTACAAGGGTAGGCTAGTCAGAATACCCTCAGCTAGACTGCAAAACAGTTGTTTTTTCTTCCCTATTCGAAAGGCGTGATCCTCGTGTGTGAAGCGCGTGAGTCTCAGGTCGTCCTAACAAGCACTGAGTACAGTGAATGTTGTACCCAAGAATATAGCAGAGAGACACCAGCAAGGACTTAAATCCAGACTGTGCAATCCAAAGGCTCTGGTCCATTGATTGTGTCATTGTTAAGTCTGTTTTAAGAATGTTAGCAGTCTTTTCAGTAAACATCAACCACATGTGATTAATTAAGGATTTCTAGGTAGTTTGAAAATTCAGTAGCTGTCACTTAAACTTAACAGGCCACGTCACTGTTATTCCTACTCAGGTACCAGGAAAAATACAACACATTCTTTGCACTGGAAATCTCTGTACAAAAGATTCATATGATTACCTTAAGACATTGGCTAGTGATGTCCATGTTGTCAGAGGAGACTTTGATGAGGTAGTTTGGTCCAACAATGCATGTGTCTTTTCCTGCCATTTTAGCAAGGTGCTAGCATGACATACAAGTAGTGTACTTTCCAATAATTTAAACACTCATGTCTACATAATGATAAATTGGATTATAATCCATCAAGTATTTTCACACGGGCGGATTGGTCTGAATACATAACATGACTGAATATTCCCCAGCTAAAACTGGGGAATATCTGAGTGATCATCCCCAGTTTTCAAAACTTTGTGTGTTGTGAAAAATATTTGAAGGATAATAAACACATTTGCCTCCATTTGGCACGAAAATATGCTTGGATATAATTTTTTCGTTGAAAATTATCTGTTCCTAAAAGCTCACAGTTTTCCTCAAGCTATGCTCTTGGAAAGCTATTCACTTATCGGAACAGACAATGTCTGTGGACCAATACACAAGCACATTTTTGTGCCAGACAGAGGCTATTGTTTATATATCATCAGGTTTTGAACACTCGCTTAATATTGTGTGTCCACTGATAGATTATCCATCTTTTAGGAAGATATTTACAGTAAAGTGTGTTAAAAAACAAATGTACTAACAAATATACCCCTCTCAAATTAAATAACTTTTAACCACTTTTGAGATTCTACTTCATTTGAAGACTAGTTTAACTAGATTGTAACATCACCTTCTATGACTGCAGTATAATGTTCACCATTAAATTTGTTTTGTTCCAGAATTTAGCGTATCCTGAACAGAAGGTAGTAAACGTTGGTCAGTTTAGGATAGGAGTGTGTCATGGTCATCAGGTTGTTCCGTGGGGAGACCCTGAGGCCCTTGCTATGGTGAGTGAGTTTTAGTGAGAAGTCCACCCTTAACATTTATGGTATCAAAATTACTGCACATGTCATCTTCTCAGTGAAAGCAAGGGCTTCACTAAGCACTGCTCACATGACAAATAGACAGTCTGTGAAAACAATTTTGTCCACCTGGTTCGACCATTTTCAGGAAATGTTCAGTTCAAAATGATTTGCCTGCCTGTAATAGCCATTTATATTTCTGCCAAACACCTGAAACCCTTGTGAATGTTTTAACATGGGCCAAACAAAAAGGAGATTTGTTACTTGTGTTGTTCCACAAAATATCCATACCCACCCCAAGGAAGGTTAACGGAAATTCTAATGAGGAAGGGAATTTCAAAAGCTAATTAAAAATTTTAAAGGCAGTATGAAGGTAAGCTGGAATTTCCAGGGGGGTAGGGAGGTTCAAACAAAAAAGTTTTCCATGCGAGGGGTATTGGTTATATTCTGGAATAACACATTACAGTCATGTGACAGTTTCTTTGCAGTTGTTTTAAAATGAGATCCAAACAAATTCCTGAATGACTTACTGGTACATATATAAGACTGCATAAAAATTCAGCTTGAGCTTCTGCCTAGGGTTGATTCATTAGTTCTTTGATGCAACATGATCCGAGTAATCTTGGATCATCCCAAAGGAACACACCCTAGTTGGTATTTGCAGTTTAGTGATAGTTGATATTGTTCTGTTTAGCTTCAGCGTCAGCTTGATGTTGACATTCTAATCTATGGTCACACACACAAGTTTGCTGCATATGAACACGAGGGAAGGTTTTACATAAACCCTGGCTCGGCAACTGGAGCCTTTAATCCACTCCAAAGGTAAACTCATGATGTACTTATACCTTATCGTACCTTTATGATTACATGCCTCGGCTGCATTTCAGGCAAGTTTGGTTGAGCCATGGTTCATATTTTGGCAAGACGTTGTCAATCCAAAATACCCATGGCTCGACCAAATGAATGTGATATGCTGCCAAAGCATGCCAAAGAGGTATGATTAGGTATTTTCCGTACCAAAATTTGGCTAAGTGAGCTTGTTTTCATAGCCATATCAGGTTAGTTACTTGATGTTGCTGGATTTAAGGACAATAGACAGCTTCTCATTGGCTAGTTGGGAATTTGAGTATGGTAATGTATAATAACATGATTTGTCATATAACATGTTGTGGCAAATGAATGATAATGATGATGATGATGATTAGTCTAGTGGGGTAGGTAATCACGTAAAACTTACAGGATATGTTTTGGAAATTTTGAGTATGGCCCCTTAAATATGCCAGAATCCATTTTTGGGGTACATTGCTGCAGTTCATGTTTACCCCTAATAGAGAGTAATCAGTTCCAAAATCTTTTATTTGGAAGGGTGCCTTGCATAACCAAGATGTCACATGCAGAATTAATAACACAAACTATCTTGGGTGTCTTACTTTGAAATTGTACACTAAAAGGTATTACAACATTTGGTAGCATTAATGTACCTGTAAAAACACATAATTGACTTCAAATACTTGTTTTCTCCTTCAGCGACATTGTACCTTCCTTTGTGTTGATGGATATTCAAGCTGGTACAATTGTCACTTACGTCTATCAGCTGATTAAGGATGATGTAAAGGTGGAGAGAATTGAATACAAGAAACCTGTATAAATTAATATTTCTGTCATTAACATTTGTATTCACTTTTTAAGTCTCCATAATACTATAATGATGTCAAGTAGTTTTTAACAAGAAGTCATAGAGAAAGGTAACTTGAAAAGATTGCAATTATATTCTGTCATTGCTGTACAAAGAAATCAATGGAAAGACCACAGGTGTGTAAGCTACTCTTGTTCACTTTACGGAATAAAGTTACTTTGATTTTATAATTATACCAAATAATGATTAACTTAGTTCATATGATCTCAAAAATGCACACTCTCTTTAGTTTCTTATATAAAACCCTTACCTTAAATAAAGTTTCCTTCCCTTGATACAGCGTTTAGTTATTGTCTCTCTTATGAAGCCTCTATTCACTAAGATGTGCCCTTTCCAAAAGTCGAACAAAATAGTTCACTGATCAATATTGTTTTAAAAATGGTGAATTTGTTAGAGGCAGGAACCGAGCAGTTAAAATTATAACTGTCTGCTCAGTAAGCTATACCAATGATCCAAGCCTGCACTTGGTTGCTGGTGTCACAGTACACTGATTGTCATGTTCAGGCCAATGAACATCAGAGACAATGATATGGATAATGATGTTCATATTTGTATGTATATTGACAAGTATGCTATTCAGCCATGTTTTTCAAATTAAAGCATTTTATTTTAAAAAACTTTTGAAAAGTGGAAGTTACTAGTTTGCCTCTTATTTTATAAATACTCACCCCTCAAAACATACCATACATTATTTTTTGTCTGTAGTCAAGTAGGTGGACTAAACTGTGACATGGCAAATTAAAAGAGAGCAAATTAGACAAGTAAGGGAGGGAGGGGAAAATCTACCCATGACAATCCATAATATTGTAAGTGCAGAGTCATTCTCTTCTTATTTCACTTGCTTGCCAAATTCCCCCCTTCTCCAAACTTTTTCTGAGAAAAGAATAAGGATCTTCACACAGGAGGCTATGTGACAGTCTCTGTACAATAGAGATGCACATGGTATGGGTGTTTTCCTGTGGGGATGAAAATGACAGTATCTGTTCTGATAAGTGAACAGTTTTCTGTAAGTGAAGCTTGAAGAAAATGGCGAGCTTTGAGTAACAGACAATATCCAAGGCAGGGGTTGAAAAAAGGGCTGTCTAGACATCTGGGACAAGTAGATTTTCCTGCTGGGCAAGTTACTTTTCATTCACACTAGCATTGCCCTCTTATACCTTTCAAAATAATACCTTTAGTAGGTACATGAATCTTCCCACCAATCGTTTCCTGCAAAAATTCACATTTTGCTTTGAAACTAATTTAAGCTGCTGCTTTATGGTCATCTCATAATCACACCAAACTCCAAAATGACAGTAAGTCTAAACATCAATTTGGTAAAGAAAAACACTAAGGGCATGAAATGTGCAAGGGTCCTGGCAAGTCATCTGCTTACTAAATAGCAATAAAAGTAAACAAAGACTTGCCAAGGATGACTAAACATGTATGTCTGTCAAGGCAAATGAAGCCATTTTTTCACACAATATTATCGTGGGTCATCTCCGTTTTTGACACCTTGGTCATTTTATCAAAAAATGTACGTTTAGTAGTTGTTTATGTTCAAAACTGTTGGTAGCCTACAAATCATAGGCTTGTTTTCTGCTGCTCTCTAGTCGGGTACACGTTCCTCCCTGCCAACAGTGGCTGGTAATTGAGCATATGCAAATCAGAGCTATCCATAAAGGACCGTAACCCTCAACACCTATTTCTGCTGAGTATGCTCTATGGGTCCTTGATGTTTGTTGTAGGTGTGACAATTAAGGCAACAATTGCAACCTAAAACTCAACGACAGCTCTGTTTATAACATCCAGTTCTGTTTCAGCAAATGCTGAATAATGAATGCAAAATAATAATAATAATAATAATAATAATAATAATAATAATAATAATAATAATAATAATAATAATAATAATAATAATAATAATAATAATTAAAAGCTAGGGGATAACACTTGACTTCACCAGTGATAATTTGTAATGTCAAGAATAGCCTTGCATTGATTTATGGAATAATTATGAATACTTTATTATTTCTTTACTGAATTGTACATATGTGAAGGCATTTCCAGACTAATATACATTGCAGTTATGAATCAAACAGTGGATTAGGCTTACATCCTTCAAAATAATACCTGTCAGGTGCGTGAATCTCCCCACCTACCCTTTCCTGCAAAAATTCACAATTTGCTTGGAAATTAAATTTATGCTGCTGCATAATGACCATATTATAATCAGGCCAGTCTACAAAATAGCAACAAGTCTAAACATCAGTTTGTTAAAGAAAAAACACAAAGAGCATAAAACACAAGTCAAGTAAACAAGATGATGTGGTGGTTTGAAAGCCAATTACAATATAAATCCTTGGTTGAGAGATTTAGTTGTTAGACTGCTTGGTGTCTGTTTTCCTCTGCAAAATCAGGAAGAGAGTATGAAGGGAGATATAAAATGAGAAGAGATTGGAATGAGGCAAAGGTGTGGCACCCCTTCTAACCCATATTACCCCTTTCTGCATTCACATTTGCAAGGAAAAATGCTAGGTAGACCTTAAGAGAAAAAGGTGACTGTATGCAGAGTAGCAATCTGCTTGTCTCTTTTTTTAAAAGCATTGTTAACTGTTGAACTGAGAAGAATGGCCATAATATATGAATGTTACTAATAATTATTATAAAAGTGAACCATATTTGAAGGTATGTTGCTCTCAGAAAAACCCATAGAACACACAAAGGTTTTTTCAGTTTAAACAACCCTCCTCTGCTCTCCATTCCACTGGAGTTTATAGTTTAACAATATTTCCCTTTAAAAATTTTAGCTTTCAAAACCCCTGGGGGGGACTCCCACATCAAAAGGGTGGGGTGCACGTCGGAAATTTTGAAAAGAACCCATAAGAGGTATCAAGATCCTGTTTTGTGGGTGTAGCTTGAAATTTTTTTCACCCCTACAAGGTACTAAAATACATCTGTCATTTTTTAATTTTTTTTTTTCGGATCAGTACCCCAAAAGATACTGCAGAAGCTTCTGCTGTGGACCTTTTCAGGCTGAACACCCAAGGAGGTACCAAAACCACTTTTTTAACCCCTCAAAGGTACAACAAGCACCCCTGTCCTTTTTTACACGAGAGTCCCTGCCAGTTAAAACGCCTTCCTCTCAGGAATTTCCATGAAAGCACCCTAATGGAAATGTTCTCTTTAATCATTCTTGTTTTGGTAGGTCATATATTATTATCTTTGAACAGACTGCACTGTCCCATTAAAATGCAACATCCCAAAGTGCCATATACAATTGCAACCCATCAAACCTATACTAACAGATGATTAACATTACAGTGAAACCAAATTTAGATATTAAATATATTCTCTAAAATAAATATCAATAGTTGTTCTACATTATTTTGTATTTATTTCATTAATAGCAGCTTCTAACTCAGCTGAATTTATATCTAGTACATGCTAGAACAGTGCTCGAAAATAACAGTTTTAATTCTATTACATGTACTTGTCTAGTGATGCTCTAAAGTTTTGTATTTCTTTGCATTCCTTTGTTTTTAACATGAAATATATGGCACTTGACAACCGATTTTTGCTCAAACTGGGCAATATTATTTATTGCTATCAAACTATTTTTGGTTGTAAAGTTATGTCCTGCACTTCAGCTGACTACTCTGCACATCCTTACTCCCATGAGAGACTCATACTCTGAAGCAAAAACTCCCCTGTATTCTACTTCTACATACTATAGGAGTAACAAACTACCCCAGGATTATTCTGTGCAATGGCATGGAAAGAACATGAGCTGGAGAAAAACATTTTCTGTGCCATCATTTTCCTGGCCATAGGAATTGACTTGACTATAACTTTCAGTGGTGTTAAATACCAAAACTGATAGGCACTGGAGAACCTCGCCTTAGTAAACATTTCTCTCTAAATTACCAAGCCTTCATTCCTGAGACATGATTACATGCTCAAATTAGATTTTACCAGATGTTCTGTCCTGAAGAATACGAAGATCTGGGTGTGAGATAAGGAAAATAATTTACTGTGCAAAAACTGAGGCTATGAAAAGTTGCTTAGTTATAATCATCACTGCAGTCAATCCTCATGCTCAGCAGCTTGACCCACTCTCTGTCCATCACCCCAGTTGAACCCCCCAGGCCTGTCTTCTTCTGGCAGAGGCTGGTAGTTAGGGTCCTCAGGAGCTGCGTCAAAGATAGCTTTCCTGCAATCAATAATTTGGAAATAACTTTGTTAAATTTTACCTAATGTATTTAAATGCAAAACTGTTGAAATTAGACTCTTATATAATTCCCATTTGAAGGTCTAAAATGCCAAGACTTTAAACAGTCCATCAATTTTGGCAAGACCATTAAAATTGAAACATGCAGTTTTACACCTTTGACTGATTGCCAATTGATTAATTGATTGACTGATTGCTGATTGAGTGATTGCCAATTGATTGATTTATCCACTGATTGATGTAATTAATTATGTCACTTAACAAATAGGTCATTTCCTAGTACAATGCACCACTGTTTCAATGCACCACTGCGTCTTCATGATGAACTTGAAGGTGGAACACATATTTTCCATAAGAATGGTTTTGCACAAAGACTCTTTTTGACACAGAGGCAAAAGGCAACTCGGAAATGGCTTATTGAAATCATGGGTATTTATAGTGGGTTTCAACCAGTGGCTTCTTATATTCTTACATAATTCCTGGAGTCTTGAGTATCCTAAAACCACCTGGCTGCTCTGGAAACACATCCTCCAAGAAATAATAGACATGACCCACTGCAATACCTGCAAAGACATGTGCAGTCAGAGTGACAAACATGCCAGTAATCAAGCAAGGGATGAAGACAAAATAATTAAATAAGCAATGTGTAGTTCCAGAAAATATCCATACCTACCCCACGGAAGGGATTTTTTCTAAGTCACCCCACCCCTCTGGAAATTCTGATTGAGCTTCATACATTTTCTTTAAATTTTTTGGTCTCACAGAACCACCCACCCCCCAGGACATTCCAATCCCTTCTGTGGGGGGAGTAAGGATATTTTCTGGAACTGAACAATTATAATTTTTTGTGAAACTCAGAAAACCATCAACACCAGAAATATTTTGAAATGTTACTGACTGTGTAGCAAGGAAAAAGCCAAATAGGCACACGAAAGCTAAAAGGCAAACAGCAACCGTAATTTGGTTTGCAGTAATCAGGTTTGCTTGCCTGTCCTGAACTTCATTGTGATTGGTCAGTACACAACTGACCTGTCAGAAGTGTTCACAGTTTTTTGACTCACACAGTAATAACCTATTAATAATTTACCTATAAGATCGACCATGACAGAATTTCCCAGCATAAGGGAGAAACCAAACAGCACCCAGGGCAAGAAAGGAGCTTTGAAGGTTAAAAGACCAAAAAAGTTCATCCGCACAAAAGGATTTCTTCGGCTCCAAATGTACACCAGCATAATCGTGAAAGCCTGACCTAGGAAAACTAAGTTGACAAACAAGGCAATTATCTGAGCACAAAAGGTCAAAGAAAATGCTCTCAAGTATGTAGTGATAGAAAATTGAAAGGAGTTAAGATGCTTTGCTGGTGTTAATTTGTCTTAGGAGACTGAAATAAATGAAAAACTCAATTCACAAGTTTTTCACTAGAATTTAGTGACACTGATTTGAAGTTGATAACATCCTACTAAATTATTGGATTGATCTTTCCTAGAATGAGTTTTTCATTGGTACTCAAGGGTCTACTAGCCTTTAATATGGGTAATGAAATCAAGAGAAAGTGGTATAACGGAGCTGCTCACAGTGGAAACTGTGAGGGGTCTACAAAGAGAGCGGGCACCAGCTATCTGTCTGCCAGTTTATCTGGAGCTCGATTTTGCCAGTCACAGAGGGCCGACTTAAACTTATTCATTCCTAAGAAAGGATACAGTCATGATTGCTCCACCAAAAATGAACATAAACACAAAGTCTGCTGTTCGTCCCCGGAATGAGCCTTCTTCTAACATCCTGCAATAACGGTATCTGGCCAGTGCTAAGGAAGGTTTACAATTGAACAGATGATCCACTTCCAAAATAGTCACAACAACAATATATGACAAATTACATGCTTAAGCACTGCAAGCATCCTTGATAGGCTTAAATGTTTGCCAACATAGACAAGGGGTAGTTCCAGACAACCCTTGTCAAAGATAAATCGGGAGAGACAACTTTAAGGCTTGCAAAATGCTTAATAACATATATTTCATCACAAGGCTGAAGTTATCTTTACAAGAACCCACCATGTGTGGCTGGGACCATTACTGAGGGTAAATTTGTGAGTGGTGCTATTATGTCAAACCTGCAGTGTTAAAGTGCTATTAGGGCTTGACACTAACTTTTCAACTTACTAGCCAAGTGGCTAGTGACTACTTAGATGTTAGTAGCCAAAAGCATTTTTTCACTAGCCAAGCGTTGAGGTTGACTACTTTGTTACATGAAATTTTCGCCACACGTTTATTTCGCAATTTGGGGGTGTGCAGATTTTGAGACACTTAAGTTCACAATTTTGCAAAAATCTGTATTTTGAAGCACTTAACCTTTGCATTTTTGAGTAACACAAAATTTGTTTCCTTTGCAATGTTACTTAAACATGTCTTTGAATTTACTACACTGACTTTATCAAAGGTACAACAACGTCAAAAGTAACAAAAACGCAATGGCGGGACTATATGTCAACAGTAACATAATGTGTTATGTTCCTGACACTTACTTATTCGCATCATGTTAATTTCGCGATTTTTTTTTTTTGAATCGTGAAATTTGCAAAATTAATGTGCCGCGAAAATTTCAGGTAGGTCCAATAACAGCAGAATGTACTTAAGCAAAACTTGAAAGCACAACGCAAACGACTCTCTTTGATACATAATGTTGGTAATTATACTGTACTTAAACTAGTTTCAAAAAAGTTCCAGTTCCCGAAAAGACTTTCAGGACTGTTTTTCTCTGAAACTTCCTTGGAAAAATATTGAGACCCCCAAGAAGTCACTGTAAAAATTATCAAGACTTCTTCAGAGACAGGTGCTGTAGAAACGTTTCGAAAGCAAAACAACTTTGTGAACAATACTGTAAATTGTTGCTGATGAAATTCCACTGCTAAAAACGGCTGATTTAAATGTCGAAGGAAATAAATCTTTCTCACCTAATTATTTCTGTAGTGGTAAGCTTGTAAGTATGCATACATGACAAATCCCCTATATATTGTTACGCTAAATAAAATGTTATCCCTTACAGTTCTGCACTATTTTGCGCATGAAAAAATTTTCGTAACAAAAACAGAGCATTGATGTGTGCTTTCAGAAAATGTTGTCTAGTTTGTCAAATATTTCTTTCAACAAAATTAACATGTTCAGTTCCCCATTTACGTACCACACAGCGAAAAGTAGACATACATGTTGAACAGCACATGCCCGGTACCATGATATGTCCATAATGAAATTCTGACATTATTTCCGAGAACAGGATAAATTTTGTGTTTGTCTTCCTTGAAGAAGACAAACTAGTTCAGCCAATTTCATTTTGTTGACTAGCCAAAGCGGCTAGTGGAAATCGAAAACCTACCAGCCAAAACTAAATTTCTACTAGTCTGTGGCTAGTTGGCTACCGTTAGTGTCTAACCCTGTACTATGATAAAATTTTTAGCCCTTTAAATTTTTAGGTTTATCGCACAGAATTATACAAAAGATTTAAAAGACAGTTTATCCTTTGTGAATATCTGTATTGGTTCCAGCGATATTTAAAGTTTGAAAAATGTGTAAAATATACAAATGAGATCACTGATGACGTCATACACTCAACCAAATATTACTTCAAGTATATGAATAGAGCTATCTTGGTCAATTTGCAGTATAAACTATTGAAACTTGGTAGGCAAATAGTTTTACATGCAACACACCTACGGCTATAAAAATTTCTATTCCCGTGGTAACCCTTTCTTTTCCAGTCTTGTCCAATCTGATTTCAATATTTTAGTGATTTTAAGTTCAAAAAAAAGAAGGCCATGAACTCTACCTAAAATATATATATGTTAGCTAGATCATGCAAATGAGGCACCATTGGCAAATATCAATATGGAACGCACAAGGTGGCCAGAAAAACCTTTAATATTGGGGATGTCTGTTCCAGTATGATGCCATGGTAAATGTTAAGCTCATATTGTCGAGCACCTCTAGTTCAATCTTACTGCAAAATATCAAACATTTCTAACACAAATTGGCTGAGATATCTTTGTTCATCATACTGGTTTAGTTTATGACATCATCACTTGGCTAATTTGCATATTTTAAAAACTTTATATCTCTGGAACAAAAAGAGATATTTGAATAGAGTAAAAAGCATTTTTCTTGTTGTACAGACTATTTCACTTGTCTATGTTTTAAAATGGCTTAGATGGGAAAGATGCGATTTTCGTCATAGCACCACTTTAAAATCTTAATTCTCCTTTCTTATCATCATACATTCATTTCAAAATTGGTACAGAGAATTTGGTGGTACTGACTTTACACTTGTCACCCGTCCGTAGAACATGATAGATGATACTTTATAAGTAACTTCAAGAACGTAATTTACTTCAATATTAAAAAGATACGTGAAGATCATGTTGAAGAAGAAATTAAATCCAATTGTTCCAAAGAACAAAAAATTGGTAATCAGTCTCCAAAGCTGGAAAAAAACAAACAAACAAAAGTTAGTAAATGTCCTTCTTTTTGTTCATATTATCTTAACTTTAAGCTTAAATTTTGCACCTAAAAAGGCAAAGTACGCAACAAAATAAAGGAGTCATAGTATGCTGAATCTTGTAGAATTTTCTAGATCTTATGGAAGCAGTTTTATTTTCTAAATTTACAAAATTCCTTACCTGATATCGTTGGAATATGAGTTCGGGATTAAAATAAAGCTGAAAAGGCGTTATCAATTCCAGTTGCTATAAGCAAACAAAAGGAAAGAGGACGGAGGGCATATTCATTTCACTGCGTGCAACTTAAAAACGGCAACAATTCAGCCAGAAAAAAAAATCCTCACCACTGCAAGAGTTGTAACCACACAGGCAGTCGCATATGTCCGTGTAACCACGGGCATTTGCATGTATTCTTGCTGAAACGTTTGGTACGCCATTTTGTTGATCTTCCTCAAAGACACGTCAGTGAATCCAAGCCTCACGGTTCTCTTTCACCTGTGGGAGTCTGGGACTTGACCTTGAAATCCAACATGGCGGATTCTGGAGCCGGAGACGAGCGTCAAAACTTTGTGCCAAAAGTTGAGCAGTTGCCGTTAAGTGGGATCATTCCAGCTATTGAAGAAGCAAGACGACAAAGACCTCCTTTCGTACCATCAGTTGGGCTCCCAAATGTCATTAGAACTCCACAGGAACTCATGGTGGAGAGAGTGATGGAAAATTGTGCGTTCAAATCAGTTTTGGCCGGAGTTGTGGGTATGGACAACTGCCACAGTATGAAATAAGATAGTTGGCTAGATTTCAATCTATTGCAGCAATATTAATCTTCGGAAAGCGAATACGTTCGTATTCGCTTTCGAAGTCATAATTCAATTTTCCGAGCCCCTCTCCTCCCAAAGCGATGTTGGAATAGTGAGCCTACTTTGGATGAATCAACGTCAACATAGTGTTGGAGTGGGGAGGGGGAGGTGGATAGAAAGACCATATGTTGGCAAAAGTGCAAAGTGTCCTAGGACTTTTGACCAGGATTGTAGAATTTGCAGAAAATTTGATAGGCTGTCCGACACTTACATGATTTCGTTCAGGGGGGACTCCCATGTGAAGAGGTCAGGGATGCTTAGGGATATAAATCATGGATTTTGGTCTCACTCAGGGTGTTCAAAACAAAATGTTAACATTTTTAACCTTAAAAGTATCTTTTAGGGTTGCACTTGAAGAAAATTCTAATCAACAATGATTTAGATAAACACATACAGGCAAAAACTAACGATAGATAAATCCGACGTTTCTGCGACATCTTGGCGCCATTGTCAAGGGAAACTAATTAAATATGCGATTTCAAGAGTAACTAAGAGTTCAGAGTTTCTAATTTGCATAAGTTAGACAAA